GGACTGGCCTAGGGGTATTTTAAAGGGGTTTTAAATTAAATTTTTAGTAGAAGCGGCCAAATTTAAATAGTTATTTTTAATCTTTTTAAATTTTGTATTGTATTATATCATTGTTTTAAACTGGCTGTAAGCCGCCCTGAGTCCTCCGGGAGAAGGGCGGGGTATAAATTTAATAAAATCAAAATCAAAATCAAATCTTGTGATTTACGTTCAGATGCTTGGCAACTGATTCATATTTATGACGGTCACAATGTCCCAGGGTCGTGTGAAGTGACCAAAACCTGCTGCAACCACCCAGCAGACAGGGGAAATAAGAACTAAACACTCCCCCACCCCACCCCCACTGCCAATCCTCAACAGAAATGCTCACAACAATGAAAACCTCGGACAGGAGGAAGAACGCCGCCGGACGCTGTCTTGCTCGGCTGTGGCTTGGGGGGCACTTTTTCAGTGCCACTGTAACTTCGAACAGTCACTAAGCGAACTATTGTAAGTCAAGGACTACCAGTACTTTTATCACTTTTTTCCTTTTTTTTTTTGGTCATCAAGTTTTTGACCCCTTGCTAGGCGACTGGTGGTACTCGGACGTTGCCATATCCTAAAAGTGGTACAATGGGTGAAAAGATTGAAAAGCCCTGATCTAAGAGTCATTAGCCCAGCCCCAGGGAAACATAATAGGATTAAATCACAGATACCAAGGCCCAGAAAAGCACACTCAGACTCAGTTCAAAGTTCATGCCACAGGAACAGGAAACAACTCAAAACAAAAGGCTTCAGAGGGTATAAAAAACCCACTCCCTACATGTGCTCACTCCTCTTTTCTGCCAGAGCCATCTTCCTGTCTGGCTCTCCTCTCCAATAAACTACAACCTTCTTCCCAAAGCTGTTGCCATGTTCATTCCCAGCTTGGATGAACCAGGATGAAGATTTTTCTTCCAACAAACCAAAAGTTCATATAAGGTTTCTAGTCTTTCAAACAATTCTTTATCTGCGTTTCCTGGAGGAAAGTTAAAATAATGGATGCCCTGTATGTTGTGTCTGATCAATATATAAATATTGGAAGGCTGATTATGGGGAATAGAAAAGTCCAGCCAAAAACAAAGGGAGGAGGAGGAGGAGGAGGAGATTGCAGGCTGTTGGACTTCTCTTTCTAAAAACATCATTCTCTCTTTAATTCTTCAGGCTGCAAGAATTGGGGCCCTTTTTAGGAAACAGCTGCGGGATGCTGATGGGGCCAAAGATTGCTGCTGAAGCCTGCTCTACTCTCTCCATGTGGATTTGCCAGACAGAAGCTTTGGATGTAAATACTTTGGCTTGAGCTAAAATACTGCTTTGGATATGTTCTCCAAAGCTGTGTTGTTGGAATAAAGAGGTCTGGGGAGGGGTGAGGTAGTAATGAAATGATTCATTAAAGCAGGGTTACATCCAGTGGTGGGATTCAAATATGTGAACAACCGGTTCTCTGTGTGGATGCCGCTTCTGGAAGTCCATTCTGGGCCTGGGCAACAAAAAATTAGCTACCAGTTCTGCCGAAGTGGTGCAAACCGGTTGAATCCCACCACTGGTTACTTCCTCATAGAATGGTTACAAACAGTTTAAATCACTTGGCAGGAAGGAAATGTCATCATCGAACTGTTTATAATATATTCTTTGCTCTTTCCCTTACCAATAGTGGTGAATTATTAGGTACAGTGCTTTGCTTGTATGTGTGCCTAAAATGTATCAGCTGAAATAAACTTTCTTAAAGTGGTTTCTAGTGAATAAGTGATGAAATTGTGTGTCTAAATTGCTTTCTCACTGAGCTTGGCTGTCTCTCCCTATTATTTTTTTTTCCTCCTACAATAAGGAAGCTTTGTTTATTTTGTCTTCCTGCCAGCTTCTCTTTTATGAGTTTTCAAGCATTCTTCTTTTCCTTTTGCCATACCAATAATTTGGTTAAGTCCAATCCAAAGTCCAATCTTTTTGCTAACAAGGAGAAGGAACTGAGGATGGGGAATCAAATCCTTTAGAATTTTTCTGCTATTTTTCGATTAACTCCTTTATTTGATCAACTCACTTTTCTTTGGTTGAACTGGATCTCTGATCCTTGCCTCATTCCTCCCTTTTGATTTCAGCTTCCAGGTTGAGGATGGAAAAAGCCTTTTAGCAACCTGATAATTTGCCAATTAAATTTGTCTAATGAGTCATTCCCAGCTTATGAGAAAGAGTTTGTTTTGTGATTGGGTTTTTCGTCTTTCCACCTTTTCTAACTTAACTTCTCCGCCCTGAGAAGAACATCTCTGCTTTCAGAGGATCGAGGGAGCGAGCAGCAGATAGAGCAGAAACTTTGTTTTCTCCTTTCACACATTCCAGCTGGCTTGGGGAAAGCAGCCACAGCTCTCCCTGCCTTTCCGTTGGAAGAAATTCTAATGCAACGGAGATACGACGTGCTCCACCATCACGGTAAAGTAAAAACGCTGTGGTTAAGTGCTTTGATTATGTACTGTATCCTCATTAAGAACATAGATGTAGTGGTGTAGTGGTTAAGCCAGCAGTCCCTCTCTCATCCCTAGTGCATTGTTTTGGAGGTGAGGAGATATTTTATTTATATAATTCATTGCTTTGCTAAAGTTATATGCCAAGTGACTGGAGAGTTTAAAGTGCCATAAATAACAAATAAAACAAAAAGAATAAAATCACCTGTCTTATTGAGGCATTAAGTTGATAAATCAAAGAGCTAGAATGTTGACTGCAGAGCTGAATACTGTATTTGAAATCTTGATATCCCAAGAGTTGGGCTTAGTGATAATATACAATTTTATATTCAAGAGTTTGGGGGGGATTTGCCTATGAATACGGATGTGAACAGCAATTTAACAATTCAGGTTATNAAAGATGATGAAGAGTAGAAAAACACCACTGAGCCATGTGCATCAGTACAGTTGTCAGTAGCTTCTTCCAGTCTGATAAGGAACAATTGTGGAGCACCCTCAACACACGGGTGACACTGAAAAAGATGGTGTCATTTTTCAACAAATGTTTTAATATTAGATGCATATCCCACTGTTATTTGTATAACTCCCAGTGGTACAACTAATGCTTCTGCCTATTTTCCCCACAATAACAACCTGTGAGGTAGGTTGAGGACAGAGGCAGAGAGACTGCCTCTCACCCAGCCAACTTTCTAGTCCAAGGGAGGTATAGAATTCATGGTCTTCTCGTTTCTTGTCCAGGAGTTAAATCACTACACCTAACAGGCTATCATATTGCGTATATCTCCTTGGACTTTTTCCCAGAAACTCTTACAAGTCATAGGATTGCAACAGCAATAGGATAGAAATAGAACCTAGAACTGAGGAGAAATTCCCTGTCAGTGAGAACAATTAACCAGTGGAACAGCTTTGCCTTCAGAAATTGTGGGTGCTTCATCCCTGGAGGTTTTTAAGAAGAGACTGGACAGCCACTTGTCTGAAATTGTATAGGATCTCCTGCTTGAGCAGGGGGCTGAACTAGAAGACCTCCAAGATCCCTTCCAGCTCTATTTTGATTGATTGATTGATTGATTGATTGATTGATTGATTGATTGATTGATTGATCGATCAGTGGAATGGCTTGCCTCCAGAAGTTGTGGGTGCAGGAGTTGTGGTCACTGGAGGTTGTTAAGAACAGATTGAACAGCCATTTATCTGGAATGGTACAGGGTCTCTTGCTTGAGCAGGGGGTTGGATTAGAAGACCTTTAATATCCCTTCCAACTCTGTAATTCTTCTCCTCTGAATTTCTATCACTAAGTGATTTAGTTGTAAAGCACAGTGTCATGTGACTGCACAGCGTAGCGACAGTAATCCTGGCAATCCCGGTTGCCGAGTCTGTATATTCTTAAATGTCTTCACAGTAACCATCCTAAATAAATCACTTTAGTACATCCAACCTTTAATTTTAAAAAGCAGTTGGAGGGAAAGGATGTCATTAAATCCATCATTTAAGTGATGTACTTATGCAAATGCTATAGCTTCCTTCAGATATAGTGGTCTGAAATATAGTTTTACTGCAACCAATGTCCGCTGAATGATAGCGAGTAAAATCAAAGTTTCACAATTCAGCAACCTCTAATCAAGTCCCTTTTTTTAACAGAGTTTTATCCAGAGTATTTCTGATGAAACACAGTCACTATGGATTGGGTTGATAGGAATGTTTCCAGCAAGAAAGTGGATGTGGGTTGATGATTCCCCATTGAATGAAAAACTGTGAGTATTTCTTTCTAGACTTATTGAAATCCTGCAGTGGACAATTCCATCCACCAAACAACATGCAGCCTATTTCTGAGTAAAAATGAATAAAGATTCTAAGCTAAGTGGAGACAAGTGGAAATGTTTGAAAACTGCCGGCAGTGATTTGCTAAAAAAAAATCAAGGCAAAACAGATCCTAAAATTGGGCCCAACTCACTTAACAACTGCCTTGTTTAGCAATGGAAATTTTGATCCCTATTGTGGTTGTAAGTCAAGGACTACCTGTATGCATCAGATATTCTTGTCACGATCTCATCTTACTGAAGGTATTTTGCACAAGGGTCATGCAGGGACATTGCGCAACATGTGGGATGAGGAAGGAGTGAAACAGTTTAAGTAAAGAAAGCTTTTTATTTTCCCAAGAGAGGCCAGTCAGATTTCATCCAGCTTTAAGGCAAAATTCTAGAGCTCAAGTTTATTAATGGTTAAAGTGTTGGACTATAACCAGGGAGACATTTGTACAAGTCCACCTTTGACCCCAGTGACGTGCAGCTGTTCTGCTGTCTCTCAAATCAATAATAAGCAATAAGCAAAAAAAAAACATTAGTTTTTTTTTAAAATATAATTTTTAAATGCAGGTAGTCCTCGATTTGTGACTGCAATGAACACTGTCCTAAGTCATGACAGTCATAAAACGGGTCAGTCACATGACCGACCTGATTTTACAATCTTTTTGTGGCAATTGTTAAGCAAACACCAATGGTTCACAATGGGAGTGGCTTTGGCAAAAACTGGAAGTAACTACCGGTGGTGGTGGTGGGGAAAACATGGTAAAATGCAGTCATATGACTGCAGGTTGATGCAAACAGCTGTAAATGCATCTCAATTGCCGAGTGTCCAAAGTTAAGTCATGCAAGGCCCAACTGTCTTAATTTCCAGTCCTGGTCATACATAGCCCCCAGGTGCTAAGCAACTAGTTGTAAGTCAAGAACTATCTGTACAATCGAAGTATAAAGAATTAAAGGAATAATAATAAAAAGCACAGTACGTTCACTTCCACCATTCTTTCTATTGTGTAGTTATTATTATTATTATTTATTATTATTATTTATTGAATTTATATACCGCCCTATCTCCCTTACGGGACTCAGGGCGGTGAACAGGCGATAATAAAAACCACGATAAATATACACAAATTTCTGTTCTAAAATCAAATTAAATAACAGGCCTGCTCTAAAAATACCCCATAGTTACCTTTTTTACTCTTTCCTTTCCCTCTTTTTTTTTTTGTAATTCCATTCCCCTTCTCTTTCAACTCTTTTTAGTCCCCAAATCCGTCAGTCCATTCAGTCTTCTTTCAACCTGTGGGAAGTCACCCCCCCCACCAGAGAAGGAAATATTAAAAGGGCAGAAAAAATATATTTCCTCAGGATCTTGAAGAGGCAGGAAAGCATGCCCAGTTTTCTTAATAGCCCCAAGTCTGCCTCCCCCAAGCAGAAACCAGCTCTGTAAAAATGCAGATGCAGACCATTCAGGAAAGTTGGAGCTAGAAGTTTAAGAAGACAAAGACCTAAA